CACACCTCCAGCACCAGCAGCTGAGCAAGCAGCACAGGCACAGGCACAGGCAGCCAGTCGAACACTTGGCACCACAGCAGCACCACCAGCAGAACACACACCTACAGCACCAGCAGCTGAGCAAGCAGCGCAGGCACCAACTGATTGCAGTGGAGCAACTGAAGCAAAGCAGACATCGCCAACACATGCTACAGCAACACCACATACACCTGCCGCTGTATCTGAAGCGATGGATGCATCCATGACAAACACCAACACAGCACCAGCAAAACATGACCATGGTGAACCAACTCAGGTGGTTACAGAACCAATGGAAACAGAAGATGAACGAGATGATACAAATACCAACCACAAAGAAGGAGACGAACCGGCCGACATGGATGATGATGACAGTGACAATGACAATAGCTCTGATTCCAGCAGCAGCACTGGTACTTCCCACTCTGACCATCATAGCAATGGTCAAGGTGACCATGAATCAGAGCCAAAAGCAAAAGCCAAAGCACGTGGTAAAGCCAAATCCAAGCCAAAGGCTGCCCCCAAGGCCGCCAAGGCCGCCCCCAAGGCCGCCCCCAAGGCCGCCAAGGCCAAAGCCAAAACCAAGGCATCGCGTTTGGTAGAGTTTGCAAAAGCAAAGCCAGCACCAGCAGCTAAAGGCAAAGCCAAAGCTGCAGCATCTCCAAGCGGCGCCAAGAGGAGCCAATCCGAGACAGCAGCCAAGACAACTCAGCCAGCCAGGAGTGTTAAAAAACCTCGAACAGTACCAGGGAATATGTCCATCACTGAGGCTCTGAGCGGCAAACTTAAGAAGGCATGATGCAGTCAGAAAAACTTTGGCTGTGGATTGATAGGATATCCTTACTTTCATGCCTTGCAGCCGTGCCGTGCAATCAAACGAATTGCGAGACTAGGTGGACCCGTTCTGTGTTTCAGTTCTGGTGTGCTCACATTTGGTTTAGTTATGCGTGTTCTTAACATCCAGAGTGTGTGACTATGCAGCAGGTCTTCACAAATCAATTACAATTCCAAGGATGTTGCAAAGCAACACAAAGGACGCAGAACCAATCCTGGTTGTTGCCTGTGTGTGGGATATGGGCAACAGAAACTGTTTCAAAGACTAGACACCACCTGGTTTGCGAGAGGAAAAGCAACAATGCAAGCTGTGTGTGCTGGATCAATTGGTTTTTCGGACCATTCTCGGGTCGTTGCTTTTTTCTTGGATTAATATAACGATGCATATATGTAAGTATCATTGTTTGATGTCTGTTTGCTACCAGCCAGAAAGTAACTCACCAGCTCTTGAGTTCCCTTGTGTGCGCTGGGAAAACGTTAATTGCAAGCTTGAAGCTTTGTTTCAAACATGTTGTCTCCTGCATGTTGTCTACCTCTGTTTTCTTTTCCTCCTACATCGATCGATGCACATATGTAATTTTCATTGGTTTTTGGCGATGTTGCCTTCCAAGCTAAACACACATATCTGGAATATATAAATTCCTTAATTGCAAATTGCCAACCTTAATTGCCACCTGGGAGTATCTTTACGAAATTTGACAAGAAGGTGAATCCAAATTGCTGTTGGAGATTCTAAAGGTAACATCTGGGCTTGCGGGCTTGCACACATTCCCCTCACTGTCCTCAAAGGTAAGTGTTTGGTCCATTGTGAACATCTCTGTTGAGTTCGCTCAATGCTCTTGGTTCAATCACCCTTTCTGCCCACGCGACGCGTGTGACACTTATACCCCGGTTTGACCTCATGAGGTTGGCCCTGCAGCAATTCCAGCCATTCTCTACGCATTGGCTCGGAGACCGTGGCTTGGGCAGACCTGGGGACGCTAGAACATTGTACCACATGGATGACCTATCACACCGAGTGAAACACGGCCTCAGAGGATCATGAACCCAACCACGGAAACTCTTAAAATTGAAATCCCCTAGTCAGGTAGAGCCTATTGCATCCTATGAGAATAAAAAGTATGCCACCAAAAAGGAACGACTGAAAAATCATATTTTCTTGCTCACCAACAGCGATGCTTAGGGGTCTTTAGCCATAGTATAGACTTCGGAGCAGGTTTCGGAGGAAGGTTCCAGACAGGGCTTGGAAAGAGGAAGGTTCCGGAGGAGGTTCCAGACAATGGCCAGAACGCGCTTGGCTTTGATCAGCTGGCAGCGTGGAGTTGCTCAGCAGCTTCACTGCGAAAACAAGTAAAAACACTTCTTCAAAAGCTCTTGGGCTGGAAAACGGTTTTTGCTGCAAAATGTACACCTGCTTTGTTGCGCAGAGTTTTCCACAAATAACCCAGCCAGGAAAGATCTATTAGGCTTTCTGCGCAAAACAAGCTACAACAATCACGCAAATCTTTGCAATTTTTCTGCTCTGTCTTTTGTTGCTGAACAAGCGGAAGAGAAGCACCAACCACTGACAGATTGACTCCACTTAGAGTGGCAGCAGCAGCAGCAGGAGCAGCCGCCGCCGCGGCGGAGCCGATGGGGCGCAGTGAATTCTGGACTCTGCGGCCTTTAGGGTGCTCCGCGACAGTTCAGATTACTTCAAACCCTCAGACTCAGGCTTCGGGGCTGCTAGCAAGCTAGCGACGGCTGCCTGTGGGGACAGTGGGGGCAGTGTCGGGCTGAAGGACAACCGCCTCAAACCACGCTACCACGGTCACACTTGGACTGCCCACGGCCTGGACCTGGGTGTTTCTTAAATGTGCAAGTGGACATCCATCTCAAGTAGCGTCCAACGTGTCCTCACGCTTGTCATCAAACTGGCACGGTCACGCCAGAACTCGGTCAGCCGGTTCAGACATGCTGCTGCAAAGTATAGTGGAGGCCTGTCCAGGCTTTGCGGTTGGGTGGAAAGTCAAGGAACCCAAATTACCAATTGCGAGAGAGAGAGAGAGGGAGATTAGATAGAACAGCGCTCACAAAATGATGATAATAATAAGATGTATAAAAAGAGGGCGGGGGACCATGGGCGTCCCATTCTTTGTGTTTTTTCACCTTATGAGCTCAGCAACTCATCTGGTGGTTGTTGAAAGAAATTACATGTTGTTGGTAACTAAAGCCTTTACTTGGGGTTAAGCCAAATAGCTGTAATCATTGGGCCAGCTCCTTTTGCTATATAGACGTAGATGGTTTCTTGTCGTATTGCATAAATCCTTCAAGCTCTCTCTGATGATGACAGGCCCCCCTCAGAGAATTGAACATGTGACTCCGCTGTGCGGTGTTGGTTGGCTTTCTGGCGTTCCCAGCGTTGATATTAGGTATTTTTATGTGTTGCATTGGTATTCTTATGGGTCATCGCTGAGTTTAGTTTCCCAATGTTCATCCACGATAGTGCTGTAATGTATAAATATGCAGTTCTTTTTAGATCATTTGTCTCAAGAATCACCGTATAGAAAATTGAACGTCTTGTTGCAAGTATGTTCCGTTTGATGCAACAACTTTCACCAGGAAAAGGTTTAGGCCGGATACTTTGCAGATGTCAAGTTCATCAGTTGGTAGAAAGTCATACTAAATACTGAACATTCAGTCAAGCCTGATGCCTTCACCAGCAATGGGAAACGAAACCATTTCATCAAAGCATTTGATGACGATGATGATGACGATGCCCACACTGTTGCTGATAAGAATATAGCATTAATGTCGATGTGCCAATGTCAAGATATACCTGTAGACTGTTCCGGCTAACAACTTACAGCAGAGGCTCTCAAGCCGCAGACGGAGGATGCCGCGGTAGCCTCGCCAAGGAGGATGCCGCGGCGACCATGACGACCACAACGGACCGGAAACTACAGCGCAGCCTCTCAGATTCACGGAGGAGGCTGTGGCGTTATGTGAGTTGAGTTGAGTACTATGAGTGGAGTTGTGTGAGTGGTGCGAGTTGATTGAGTTGAGGAGGAGGAGGAGGAGGAGGAGGAAGGAAGAAGGAGGAGGACGGAGCCAGGATGCCGCAGGAAAAACAACCTCCCCACACAAAGATGTGGGGAACAACCGCATCTGGCTCAGGGTTTTGTTCTTTCGCGCCGAGCCTCCCAGAGTCTCAGGAAGTATCGCATGGCCGCTGGTTCCGTGCTGGCAATGCTCGGCATCATGGCAGTGTGGCCGATGCACATGGAGCGGCCCTACCGGACCGCATCCACACCCATGGCATCTCAGACATGCCATTACTTGGGGCTTTTGTGTCTGAGTAGGTGGATGTAAGTTGATGTAAGGGTCTTGTGTTGGATCAACTCTGGAATGTTGGTGGAAGAGGAGTTCTTCCACATGTAAAATGAGCATCCTGATCGAAGCTTGCTGGTTGCATTGTTTGAGCGCTGGTACAGGTCGAGGCCCGACTAATTGATCTATTTTTGCAAGACATCCGGTAATGCACATTCTTTTGCGATGTCTTTTGGAGAAGAGCCCTTTACAGAGATCGACAGTCAAGCTCAGGCGGCTCTTCTTCAAAAGTGGTTGCGCGAGCGGCTCTTGCGATATTTCTCTTTCAAGGCGATCTTTGAGGACTGGTGCGCTGCAGTGGGCCACATATGCTCGGGGCAAGTATCTGCATTTTTGCAACAAAATCCATTATCAGACTTTCTCGGAGAGTGCCAGTCACTAGGCTCACAAGAGGTAGTTTAAGCTAATATATATATATATAACTTGTAGTGATGGCACTTTATGGCACCATTTTTGTTGGGGTCAGTTCGCGACCCGTTTTGTCCGTAGTTTTGACTCACTGGACTGGAGTCCAGCGCTCCTCGGGAAAGGAGCCTCTACAGAAGGATCGCAGGTACATGCTGGCGGTGATGCCACATGGTGTGATCCCATTCGCAAGTACATGTTCCTTTGTCTGAACTATAAAAGAGATGATCATCTCCAGAATTGGAAAGTGTCAGAGAGAGAGAGAGGTGTAACTTGTTGAGAGGAGGCCATCCCTTCATTACCTCTTTGGAGTGTGGCCGAGTGCGACCCTTTAGTCAATATATGTCAATATGCGCAATAGAAGCCCCTGTTTCCAGCCTAACACAGCGCACTACCTGAGGTTTTCGGAGAATTTGTGAATAAAGGGGTGCTCCATTTCCATGTGAATTAGCCTAGATATGCTCAATCCGCGAATGCACATGGAAGGAGGCTCTCTTGTCAACCAGCAGGGGTTACTGGTTTCTTGACCACCAAAGTTTCATCGGAGCAAACTTTTAACTTGTGGCCCAATGACATGAGATGGACCCCAACCAACCCTTTTTGTAGCTCATGGATTCCGGGGACAAGGGAGGCGTTGGCTAGGCATTCCCAATAAGCAACTTTCTTCAGATTGTCAAATCGTCTGCCAATCACCAGTGTGGACAAGATTTCAGCGTCTCAGGCTTGTCCATTGCCCTTGAGAAGGAAGGCTTTGTGCCTAACAGTGTCTTGGACTGAACCCGCTGCAGCAGAAGCAAAGTGTGCTAATTACTTAAAGCAGCACATTCTTTTAAACATCCTCTGGTTCACAAATATGTCTTGCCAAAACTAAGACAACACACACTTGTCGAAGTCCATGTCTGGGACTTGCCGAAGTGACTTGAACTTGTCGAATCCGAGGCATTGGCGCAGACATCCTGTTCCAGATTCCGTCGCTTGGACGGGCAGGCCGCAAAGACGAGGAACTTCTGTTGAAGTAAAAACACACACACACACACATATATATACTTTCATGTTCAGGAGGTGGAGGGCGCGCAGAGGTAGGAGTTAGTAGGCTTAAGCTAAGTAGTAGCTAAGAAGTGACATCGATCCACAAGGAAGCTTCTTTTGCCCTCAAGCTTGAACCCTTGCTGTATGAAACCTTTCAGAGTTTTTTTCCCCAGCATTTGTGGGTGAAGAACCAAAGTCTGTCAATGGCAGGTGTGTCTGCGACAGTTGATCGGCCAGAAAAAGCGAGGGCTTGGGGATGTCTGATGGTGCATCGGGCGCCTGCCAAGGCTTTTGAGGCAGCTATGCCGATTTGGAGGGCTTGTTCCAGCCACACCGCAGTTTCTTGCCTTCACTTGAGAAGTTTGTGCTTGGTTTGATGCACCCAGGGCTCAGTTGATTTTGTTCATCAGTAGTTGTACTGTGGAGAATGCGTGCCCTTTCGTGGTTCTCTGCACTGAACTTAGGAGCTGCGAAGTCAGGGCAAACTAAGTTGTTTTCGAGCTCAACCACTCACTGCTGATCATGAGGCTTCAACCTCTTTCTTGTTCCGCCCTTTCAATTTTGGAAAGCGTGGCAGTTACAGTAATCCATCCAATCCAATCCCTACTGGTTGAGCAGCCGAGCAAGGCAATTTTCAGCCAACTTCGAGAACCGCCCCCCACTACCCATGTTTAGTTGACCTCGTGCTCGCCCCAAGCCTCTGAGGTCGATTAAACGGGCCTTGACTTGGCCTTATCCCAACAACGTGACCTTCATTGTTCCAGGTGCGTCTTGACGATGATGTGTCGCTTCATGCCCCGCCGTGCTTTCGTGTTTGTGCTTTTCCGTCTGAAGTTGCACAAGGCTAGATGAGGTTGGCAGCAGTGCACTTTTGTTCAGACGGACATGATTAGCATGGACGATGGTAACTGTTCAATTGCTTCGTAGCGGCAAAGATTGGCCATCGAGAGTCCAGATTATTCTGGGACAACACTTTGAAATCCTGCGGTCGTGGAGCTTCACAGAGATACGTTTCGATCTTTCAAGGATGCCATGTTATTGAGCCTTACACCCAATTCCACACTGCAGGATGTGATTCGGCAAATTACTTGGTTCATGTGAATGCATTCTTGAACACCTTTATCAACCACGCGGCCGTCTTCAGTACAGTAGTTGCTGGGGAGTCTCTGGCTGTTTTGACACTGCCACAGGAGGGATTGCGGAGATCTTCTTGATGCGTCCTGACTTGGAGCAGGTCTTCATCAAGAGCCGTAAGGGCTTCGTTCGTCTGGCCCTTCAGGCGCTATAGACGGGGTCAGACGAGGCAATTGATGCAGAGGTTCATGTCTTGAATGTTTAACCACATCTGATGAGGGACTAATGGTGGTGATGCGAGGCTTCTTGAATATGAAGGATGCACAGGAGGAAAATGAGCAAACACTGAAACACCTGTTCGATCACGGCACATCCTGTGACGTCCAGTCTGGCGTGGACATTGTGCCGGTCTATGGCCTGGGGCATACGCAACTCTTCACCATGTTGGATAAGTCCTCGGCCTTGGGTGGCTTCTTGATGCGCATGAGCCGCCGATTCAAGGTGTGGTTCGGGGCTGATTTCAATGTGGGCTTGGCTCCAACATGTTCACTGCCAGAAAAGCACTGGTAGTTCTTGACGGAGTTTTTCTCTTTACACTTTGCGACTATAGTCTTGATACCAATCGTCACTCGCTAAGAGTTCTGACCAGGCCAGAGTGTCACCCCAATTCTTGCTTTTGGACACCTTACAGCAAGCTTTCGAGTTGCACACTTCTTCGTGACATTTGTATCCCAAAACTAGAAGTTAAGGATAGGACCTTCCGTCCCTTGAGGCAGTGCTATAGTTCTCCGCAGAGATGCTTCTGCATGCCGGTGCGTGCTTAGAAAATCAGCACAGAACTTGCCCGCAGGTTTCCTTGCCTTTAAGTTACGGCCGGCTTGGAATGCCGTTGGTCCCCTATTCCAAGCCAATCGCTGCCCTTGTTCCTTGGGCTTAATTTGGGCACTCTTGAGTGTTGCATTGTTGGCAAAATTTTCGAGCTGAAACCTTTGACGATTCTTTCTTTTGAGTCCATGCTGGAGTGTACAGATCCAAAGAGGTATCGACAGGAGCTTATTATCAACTTAGGTCATTGGCTGTAAGCGGTGAGCCAACAAGTAAGTTACACAGTTGACAGTTTCCCCAAATGTCTAGGAACAAAATCAATCGTGCAAGCCTGAGCAGAAAATGCTTGCAACCCCATTAGCAGCCACTTAATAGCAACTAGCTTCTTACTCCTCTGACTGACTGATTGACTGACTCACTCGCTTACTCACATATTTACCTACCACTTACTTATTTACTTGCCTACTTACTTATTTACTTCTTACTTACTTGGTTACTTACCTACCTACCTACTTACTTACCTACCTACCTATCTATTTATCTATCTATCTATCTACCTACTTACTCACTCACTTACGTACTTACTTGCGTACTTACTTACTTACTTGCTTACTTACTTACTTACTTACTGGCTTACTTCCTTACTGACCTTACCTTACCTTACTCTACTTTACTTTACTTTTGACGGACGGAGAACCAGTCACTACATGCCTGTGAAATCACATTGACATGTCGAGTTGTGTCCAACCGGGCCCACTTACTTACTTACTTACTTACTTACTTAACGTACGTACACTTACGTATACTTACTTATACTTACCTACTTACCTTACCTACTTACCTACTTACTTACTTGCTTACTTTCTTGGCTTGCTTGTTGGTTTACCTCACTGCGCCGGGCCCTTACCCCAAAAGAAAAAGCCCTTCAAATGTCTGGAGAAATTGCAGAGGGCGTCATTCTAAAGCATGACCAAGCCTGCTTTCTGTTTAGACATTTTGAGTGGTCGAACGTCCTTGGTCACCGGCTTCGCCGCTTCTCAGGTGGGCAAACCCATACGCATCGAAAAAGCCTACTCCAACCCACCTGAAGAGTTGGCCCCTTGGAGGAAGAGCCACGCCGACAAAGCGGACCAAACGTTCCCAGCTTGGATATGTAGTCTCCACATCAGCTGCCGGGGCATCCTCTCACCCAGAGAGACAGGTTTTGAGGGAGCCCAAACGTTTGCATTTTAGGGTCGGACTACGCATCGATTATTGAATTTTCTTGTCAGAAAACAGGACTAGGTTCATGAGGACTTCCCTCACGGAGCCTAATCGAGTATACAGTATACATGTGGACATTTCGATCGAAGGTTCTTTAGTCTCTCACCAAGCGAGTGCTTACACGGAGAGACTTGTTACTGTAATAATTAACTCATTTTGTTTACTGTAGTACATGTGCCCTTGATTCACAGTTGATCAGTTGATCCTTCTCGGCCGGGGATCCAACAAAAAGCAACATAAAGTTGTCAATGAAGACCCAAAGAGCTTAGCTCAGCTTCTGGTTTTCACCTCGCTCAGGTGAATGACATTCATGCGCAGTTCATCGCAGAACTGCAACGAATATTTGAGAAGCACAAAGGTCCGATCCAAGGGAGAAACAAAATAGTGTTTGTTTTGGAATCACGTTGTGCCATGGCCCGGTTTTGCCATTGGCTGAGCTCATGGACAGGCATCGTACCGGGGTATGAGCATAAGCAGCTCTACTTGGAGGATGAAGCGGTGCCACCGCTTCAGAGTCTTGGCTTGGTTAGGCAGGTGAGCTGGCTGCGGTGCGTTGAAGCCTTCTTTGCGTGCCCCATTGTTTCGTTGAGGAAGGACGCCATGGCTACCGACGTACTGTTCCCGAGCAGCATGCCGGATCCGAAGGGCCAGGTGCCGAGAAGCCGGCTTTAGCCTGGAAGGCGGGTTGTCGCAAGAGTTGCCTCAGACTCAAACATATTGGCAGTACATTTTTATAGATAATATATTATTTTTTGTATATCTCTCATCAAAAAGGATTACGTCAAATTCACTGTGGTCAACCTTTGGCAGTTCATCTCCCTTATGAAGTGTGAGTCAGAAAACATATTGTCAGTAGTGGTCCGTCTTCTATTTCCTGACTCAACCTGTTGTGAGGTACTTTAAACAGCATTACGGTTCATCGAGATCCGGCAAAATTTGCCCTGATCATGCGTGGATTTTGTGGAGTGTGCTCATTACACATGGTACGGGTGTCCCATTAGTCCACTACATGTATGTCGTTGGGTTGTTGTAGTTGAATTTGTATGTGATGTTTCCACTATGTGATTTCATTTACCGTTTTTTGTCAAGTGCCCTTCAGTTGCCCATTTATGAACGGTGGTTGTCGTTTTCGACTTATTGTGCCCTCGGTTCAAAACATTTGGAAACAACGCGCAGTTTAACCTCACTCACAAGGCCACGCCAAAGAACGCACTTAAGTTTCACTGGCCTTGAGTCTCACATAGTCTCACAAAGTTCGTCGCATATGGCCATCAGTCGAAGAAAGTGGACTCCGCTGGTTTCCTAAGTTTGGCAATTCGGTTGCATCAGACAAAGCGTTTGGTCAATATATCGTATTGCTGTCTCTCCACCCTTGAAAATCGATTTTCGCACAAATTTTCCCATGCAAACAAGGGGTTGTCCACTTCCAAGTCTTTGTTGAAGGGAGAGTCAAGATCCATCAGAGACAGTTTTGGGGCCTCTCCAAGTCATTCTGCCTATTGGAGCTTCTAAGATGGAGATTTAGAGGATCCTATTTAGGGCCAATTCTTGAGACCGCGTCCAGGTTGTTGGATGTTGTTTGGGTGACGCTGCAGCTCGAAGTGCGTGTTCTTCGCTTTGTTCCGTGAGAAGAAACCTGGACGGGTCCTTGGTTGTGGGTGAGACGTTCTGTTTGCACGATCGAAACCTTGGTTCTTGTTTCCCGGTCGGGGCACCCGGGCTAAAGTGTCCATCCACCTGCTACTTGATGGGAACACACAGGGACACAGGGACAAATGCCTTTGGATGTGTGATTGTCCGTCGCCACATGAACCACATGTGTTTTTGCGGGCTTCAAGGACCTTCGTTTCGTTTCGGCGTTGGGTTGGGTTTGGAGGCTCTACCCGTGTTTTGGTCCGCCTAAGCTTTGGATCCTTTGGTCCGGTCCTTTTTTGGAAGATCTGCTCGGACAAGCTGGAGCTTTCTAATAACTTTTGGACATTTTGTGACCCCTCCCAGGCAGGTGGAGATGGCGGCGCAATATGCCAACAATGAGATGCATATGTTTTTTTTGGGCGATATGTGCTTCGAAGGTGATGCACATCTTGAAACACGCAGAAAGAGGATCTATTGCCTGACATTTGTCAATCTTGGAAGTTCGAGATTTGCTACACTCCAAAACTAGTCCAGGTGGATCCCCGACTTCATAAAAAGCATCCGACCCTCACATGATTGAAGGTCTGTTATTAGCCTATTTTCCCTTACCAGCTGGCCAGCTAGCGGGGATCTGGACAACGAACCTAGAATGCATGTTCAAATATCGTCGTCGTTCATCTATGTTTTCCTGGTTTTGGGGTAACAACAGAGGGTCTACCAGTGCTGCTGAGAAGCAGTCCGTTTCCCAAAGATATCCACAGGTGGCATCGCGCTGACTCTTCTGTCGGCTTGTTGGCCCGCCTTCGTGACCAAAGAAGGTGCGGGAGGAGTGGGCGGGTCACCACATTTCATGTAAACCTCAACCTCGAAGGGGAATCTTGGGACCAGCAATGCAGCAACATGCTTTGATGTTCATGTATCATGCCAAGAGATGTTGTTTTGTAATCTGGGTTTCTTTTGCCAGCCGCCATGAATATAGTATAGGTATAGGCCCTTCAGGCCCAGCTTTCTTAATACTGACGGATCTTGCGTGGTTAGTATCAACTGAGTTCTGACAGGGTACTTCATAGGTCTTGAGCTACTTTGAAGTGGCTGGGTTGCATGGGATCCATACCCTGATTGGGCATTCAGCATTTCACAACAAATGTAGACTGGTTCCAGGAGTCATCAAACCTCGGAAGAGTTTAAGCAAGGCAAGGATTTGAAAGAGCAGCAATAGCTGAACAAAAGAAGAGTAGGTAGATAAACAAACCAAAAGACATATAATCCTGGGCAAAAAATGCCTTTTATTTTTACCTCACCCTGCAGTATTTAGGGTGTGAGTGTGGGAACATTTTTTGTTCAATTTCTTCCCACTTGACTAACATGGATTCGACATTACTAAGTGTACAAGATAGGTCTGTGCAATTTCTGCATTCTCAGAATCTCTGTTACTCCGGGAGCGCCCGTCTCGTAAGGCTTCCGCAGGGTGGGCCCTGTCGGCTTTGCTACCATGCCTGTCATAAATCTTGGCTCAGCTTAGGAGGGCATAGGGCAATCTCGAAGAAGAGGTATGAGAATGCCAGCGAAAGCCTGGAATCCAAACTAGGAGGAAATTTACCGCTGGTGAGGTGGCATGAAGTATTTTCTTCCCAATACCTTAGAGACTTGAGTCTCAGATGATCAATCTTCCTCATGCGCGCAACCTATACAGACATTTACCCAAACTTGCTGTGCTTTTCCCAGATGACTGGCCACCAGAAGAGTGAGCCATCGCTTCAGCCGACTGGGATGAATGTCCGATGTGAGACCATCTCCCTGGCCACTGCGGTGGTGTCGGCCACGCTGGTGCTTGGGGTTCTAACTTCGCCGGATCCCGACTATCAAAGCGGACTCTGGTGGCCAAGAAATGCTAAGTTCTTTAGATAGAAAACTTTCCTTTTTAGTGCGTATATACGTGGGGAGAACATCTCTCCCATCTACCCTGTACTTTTGGACCTCGATTTCACAAGAACAAGATACGGTCCAAAGGTACTGTGAAGAGGACCTCCAAGAGATTTTCGGGAGCTTCATTCTGGTGGTCTTTTTTGCGCTCTTGGTGGGCTTGGCGGCTGTGCCCTTCTGTGTGAAGGTGGGCTCTGGAGGTTCAGCACACATGTGTTCAACTGCAGGGTTTCTCATCTTCAATTGGATACAGGGATTGAAGCTTGGACAAATTTTTTCAGGTTCGAGATTTGAACTCAGCTCAGGTTCGAATATGTTTCGGCGCAGTACACGTCGCCCAGGTGAGAGGGTATTGTCATCTCCTATGCAGCTAAGTGTTGACATCCATCCCCACCCGGAACTGTGGGTACGTGGGGTGTGTGGAAGGCAGATTCCAGGTTGCGGTCAGCATGACCTTCAAGCGGTGTCTACAGGGAGCAATAGCAGTTTCTAGTCATTTCTGAGAAACAGGGAGCAGTCACTGGCATTACTGCAGAGCATCATTTTGACTGACTTGTGTAGCACAGTATTCATTGATCTAGGTTCTTGACCTGCCCAGCTCATCGGCGTTGAGGATCGTAGCAGTCTTACTGTCCATGAAGCAGAGCAAGTTGTGGGAGAAAAGGCTGGGAGATGGATTTGGACCCGCAGATGCTCGGCAGTGCTAAGGATGCTTTTCCTAGGAGAGACACAAGAACATGGCAGGAAGTGGATATGCGTAAATTCCTGAAGGTCTTGATCATGATGGCGACACAGCGACACAGATGAAGGTTTGAAGCAGAGGAGGAAAAGGTGGTATGCTCATACAATATATATATATACACATGGATGTGTAGTAAAATAGGGAGACCTCTCAAGGACCCTTTGGAAGAAGGACAATCGACCAACACCCGTTGATTGGGGTGGCACAACTTGCGGACGCCCGCCTGAACGATCATCGCCTCCCAAAACCAGCCCTTTGCCGGGGGTCTGCCATTGATTGGGGGTCTGCCAATTTTCAAACACAGCCATATAGATAGATAGATAGATAGATAGATAGATAGATAGATAGACAGATAGATAGATAGATAGACAGATAGATAGATAGATAGATAGATACTATGTGTACTACATACTGCTGTGTATGAGGAGATGGCTATTCAGCAGGGCAGGGTCATGGAGGTTTCAACAGTGAAGCACCCAGAAGAAGAGCGGGGCTGGAAAACGCTGAGGTATGCGAGAGTCTTTTTTACGACTCGTTGGCATCACATTGCCGCTGACCGACATATTGCCAATGCGCTGTGTGTATATGTGGGTGAAATCCTTCCACCCACAAAGGTAGCCTCCTCGCCCCAACAACAAATCTACCTAGGGGAACCTACAACCAAACCTAAATCAACGGTGGTCCACCACCCTCCCAGTGCACACCCTTTTCCTGGTGCATCTTGCCGTCCTCGGTCCTGTGGCCTTGAGCCAAACACGTGTCCGTGTTTGGAGGTTCTCATTCGAAGGTGGTCGATCGGTCCGAGCACATCATCCGATTCACACTGGTTTTAAACTCTTTTTCGAATGAGATTCACCGAAAGCCTCCACCCATCTAGCACTGAACTTCTTGTTCGGGTTCTCCTTCAACAAACTGCTGTCGTCATATATACGGAACTTGCCAAGACCGAGCACCTTTCGCAGAAATGAGGAATCCATAGGTTTCGTCAAACAATCTGCGAGCATGATGGCGGTTGATATCCACCTGCACTCTGTGCTTTCTGCTGATTGCTGCTTAATAAGCATGACTTCAATGGTTGTCCTCCATTCTTGACAGTTTGGTGTTGCCATCTTATTCACAAGGTCATATAGGCTTTTACAATCCGTGATTAAAAGTGCTTTCGGTTCGGCTTGTAGCGAAGTTTCAGGCATTTGCCATTTGAACATGCCATCCTTTATGATAGCCCACATGCACCTAATCCATGTTAGCTTATCTAGCGAAGATGACATTGCATAAGCCTCTGCACTTAGTGTTGACCGAACAACTCTGCTTATCTGTTTTGAGTGCCATGCAATAGGTGTTATTTCGGATATCTTATTTTCACCAAGCTCTTTGGTGCATGCTGCTATGAACACTCCTTGCTGGGCTTTCAGCTGGCTCTCCGATGCAAAACTCGCGTCTCCGAAGCTTGCAAAAGTCACATCCTTCATAGGAATTGGTTGGACTAGGATAGAAGTTTCCGATGTTTCTTTGGCTTCTTTGAGTATTTTGTTTGCTTCTATCAAGTCTCTTACTTCTGCGCTGCAAACTTTCTTTTGCATGAATGAGACCTTAGCCATAATGTCGGGACGTGAATGCACAGCTGCGTACTGAAGACTGCCACATAGTGCCCTTAGCTGCTGCAGTTCATGGCTGGTGATTTTCGATTCCAATTCTTTTCTGCGGATCTTTGGGATGTCAATTGG